TTTTGCTACTTCCTTCAGTGAAGCTTTGACTTCTTCCTTCAGTACCATTGGTTCTTGATCATATGCCACCTCCTGAAATGGATGAACATCGACCAATTCTTTTTGGTACAGTGACTCTGTGTATTCCTTCCATGTTCTTTTGATGTTTCCTGCATCATTCAACATATTGCCCTTAGAATCTTTGTATATTGCAACTAGAGGTTTAAATTTCCTCTTTAGTTCTTTCAGATTGAGAAATGCTGAGCATGTTCTTCCTTTTTGGCTTTCCAATTCCATGCTTTTGCACATTTCATTATAATAATTGACTTGTTTTCTTGAGCTGCTCTTTGAGATGTTCTGTTTAGCTTTTTGATCTTGTCAATTCTTCCATTTGCTTTAGCTACTTTCCACTCAAGGGCAAGTTTCAGAGTCTCTTCTGACATCCATTTTGATTTTTTCTTCCTTTCCTGTTTTTTTAATGACCTCTTGGTTTCTTCTTGGATGATGTTCTTGATGTCATCCCATAATTCCTCTGGTTTTCAGTCATTAGTGTTCAATGCCTCAAATCTATTCTTTAAATGATTTCTAAATAGAGGAAGGATATTTTCAAGGTCATATTTTGGCTCTCATGCACTTGTTTTAGTTGTCTTGAATTTCAACTTGAACTTGCAAATGAGCAGTTGATGGTCTGTTCCACAATCAGCTCCTGGTCATCCTTGTTTTGGCTGAGGATATTGAGCTTCTCCATCACCTCTTGCCACAGATGCAGTCAATCTGATTCCTGTGTACTCCATCTGGTGAAGTCCACATGTATAGTGGCCATTTGTGTTGGTGAAAAAGGTATTTGCAATGAGTAAGTTGTTGGTCTTGCAAAATTCTATCATGCAATCTCCAGCATTATTTCTTTCTTCAAGGCCAATTTTTCCAACTACCAGTTATTCTTCTTTCTTTCCAACTTTTGCATTCCAGTCATCAGTGATAATCAGCACCTCTTGATTGCACGTTTGGTCAATTTAAGACTGCAGAAGTTGGTAAAAATCTTCAATTCCTCATCTTTGGCTTTGGTGGTTGGTGTGTAAATTTCAGTAATAGAGTATTAACTGACTTTTCTTGCAAGCATATGGATATTATTCTATCACTGACAGCATTGTACTTCAGGATAGATCTTGAAACATCCTTTGTGATGATGAATGCCACACCATTTCTCTTCAATTTCCCATTGCCAGCATAGTAGATCATATGGTTTTCTGATTCAATATGGCCGAAAATGGTCCATTTGTGCTCACTAATGCCTAGGATATCAATCTTTATGAATTCCATTTCATTTTTGACAACTTCCAGTTTTCCTAGATTCATACTTCATACATTCTATGTTCTAATTATCAATGGATGTTTGCAGCTGTTCCTTCTCATATCGAGTCATACCACTTCAGCAAATGGAGGCCCCAAAAGCCCACTTTATTCATATCGGTAAGGTAGGCTCAATACGATGAGTCAGCTCTTTCCAAGTCATATTTTGAGTGCTTTCTGACCTGAGGGGCTCATCTTCTAGTACTGCATCAGACAATGTTTCTGGGCTATTCAAAACACTTCCCAGTAATACATCAGACAGTGTTTGATAGCATTCATAAAGTTTTCACTGGGCAATTCTTTGAGAAGTGCATGTCCTCTTTCTTCTTCTGAGTCTGTCTCAGTCTGGAAGCTCCACCAAAATGGCTCCACCGTGGGCCCTGCTGACACAGCCTCCAGGCTCATAGCAACACACAAGCCACCACAGTACAAAAAACTGACAGAGAAGTTCTTCCCCCTTAGCTGTTCCAACTGCTCCACGCATTTTCTGGGCTACCCTCTCCTGTTTCTGCTGGCCCTGTCTGCTGTTGCTCCCTGCCGCCTGGGGACTGTCCCCCACCCTGCCTTACCTTTTCCAGCCTCCAGCCCTGTCTTAACTAGAAAGAACCAAAATCAAATTCACTGCCATCCAGTTGATTCTGACTCATAGTGACCCCCTTTGAGTTTTCAAGGCAGTGAATCACTATGGAAGTAGATTGCTCAGTCTTCCTTGTGTGGAGTGGCTAGTGGATTTGAACCACTAACCTTCTGGTTAGCGATCAAATGCCTTAGGTATTACACCACCAGAGTGCCTTAAACTTTAAATTTGTTGTTGTTGTTATTATGTACCATCGAGTCAGACCTGACTCATAGTGACCCCTCCTTGGGTTTCCAAGGCAGTATCACTATGGAAATAGATTGCCCAACCTTCCTTCCAAGGGATGGCTGGTGGGTTTGAACTGCCAGCCTTCTGGTTAGCAGTCAAGTGCCTTAGGTACTATGCTACCAGAGCTCCAAACTTTAAACTATGAAGGGTCAAGTAGAGAAAGCTACATCATATTTTTTTCATCATTTCATAGGAACTCTATACCATCTTCATAAACCACAATACATAGAATTTTTTTGTAGGAACAAAAAAGAAAATATGCTGGTAAGAAGAGAAGGACCCTATTATAGATAAGGATCTGAGATATCTCCATTTGGACCAATATATGCCTAGTTTTATTGAAGTGCACTAGATTAAAACTGCTTCTTCTTATGTTTTTCAGTAAAGGAAGAACAAAAACTAGTCCAAACCAGTCCACATTGTGGATTTCCAAGAGCACCAGAAAGGACAGTAGCATGGAAGTATAATTAGTTGTTGACTTGACTCCAGAAAAGAAAATCAGAGTTTTATAAATCTGTATTTCTATAAGGAATGGCATAAGAACATTAGCTTGGAATGGCTTGAAATATCAATGGATTTGCAAGATGAACTGTAAGCTCTCCCTTCACACAAATATTAAAATAATTTTTATATGTTTATTATTTCATTTATAAGATATGCTGTGCTTAAAAAAGGAGTGAGACATGCTTATTTTGCTGAAAGATGCACTCAAACTTCAAGTCAATGGAATGGACCATGCAGTTAAAATTGCTTTCAACACATCAGGAGTATGTGTGTGTTGGAAGCAGTTATTTTTATTTCTTTCACCTTTCATAACTTGTGATCTAGTTAATGTAATGTAGATTGTATTGAAATTTGCAGTGAGCAAAATATTTTACCTTTGCGTGTTTGATAAAAATGGACTGTTCTACTATTTATTTTTATGGTTTTTCATTTTTCAATACATATTGTTTTGATTAAACAAATTTGTCACTGTTGTCATCTGAATTTACTCATTCACTAATGTATTACCATGAAGGAAAGGTCATTGTTTTTTTCTTTTTTAAATAAATAGCTCATCTTCTTTTACTTTTTCTGCTTTTTGTCAGACAATGTTTAGGAAATCTCTTCAGAAATAAGAAACTTTTTCATTAACTGTGCTATAAATTTATTCAAATATTTTACTTAGAGGCAAGAATTGTCTAATTTCAATTGTGCAAGACATGTGCCTTATAACTATTTTTAGTTTAAAATTCAACAGATTTTGTAATAAAATAACTTTATTAATAGTTATGTAAACAATAAATACACTCAATTTAGAACAAAAAATATGTGGCATATACAATATAAATCATATGTCTTCACATGTTGCCTATGTACACACAAGTAGGTCTCCAAGAGCTCTGAAACTGATGTGGTCTCTCCCTTACCATAAAACAAAGATGTTTTTTGGAGTCTGGGATTAGCACTGGAGGCAGATACCTGCAGAAGTGGCCTAAAGATTTCCCTTGCTACATTTATCCTCTGTTAGCGTGTATAAATGTTCTGGATTTGGGACCAGGTGAGTGAAGGAAATTACTCTGACATTTCAGCAAGGAACCTATGAATTAGTGTGAAAATGGCTTGAAGGTGATCAGTGATTGGGTTTAGTTGACAAGAACTTAGCTGGGAGAGAAAACAGGGGCTTCCTTCTGTCTTCTAGTTTTTTCAATGTTTGTGACTTCTTCTCAAGATAGAGTTGTAACAATGTGTTCTTCAAAAGTCCCTGTGCTGCTTTTAACCAAATAAAATAATTCTTGTTTCTGAAGAATAATCATTGGTGTTGTTTAAATCTCTTAAAGGAATAAAATACAGATATATATGGCTCAGTACATGAAGAGGAAAACAAATCACTGTTTAAGTGTTTTAAGAATACAAGTTGTGGTTATAGAATGCTTGAAACGTAACCTTTTCTCTGTCAATTTTTTTCAGTTAAATAATAAAGTGCTTTCATTAATCCATTTCACCACTAGAGTTGATTGGCAAAACTAAAATGAAAAATAGAAATTAGAAGGCACTGACCCTTATTCAGCTGCTTAGAGACTAAAAGAATGGGCAGCTGCACTCTAAACTTAAATCTGCCCATATTTGGCAGTCTTCTTTCTTCTCTCAGCTACTCATCCTTCTGGGCAGAAAGGGAGACCAGCTGCCCCCAGCCTGCCACCACATAGTCCCTTCTTTAGTCAGGATTTGACAGAGGGGAGACTCAGTTTTCTCATTTGCTCATGCCACCAAGGATTACAAAATTTCCAAGGCAGAAGTAGCAAAGCAATGTGGAAGAGCCTTGGTTTTGCCCTTTATCTTTTTCCAGGCCTGGACAACTCTTCTGGTATCAGTTACTAAATCCATAAAGTGACTAGAAGTGGTATCTATTCTCATAGAAGATGGTGGTGATGTTGATCAAAGACTTTCTAAACAAATAGCTGACCTTTGGAAACTAAAAAGGAGATGCATTATTTACTGTGTTTGTATTTTCAAAAGTTTTTTTGAACATACTTTTAATATATGTTTGGAAATGCAACTGAAATATAGAACACTCATTATAAAGTAAAAACAATACAGCCTACATGTGTTGCTCCATTCCTCCTGTTACAGCCAGGTCACTGGAAGAGTCTTTAAATATATAATAGACTGTTTGGGGACTGCTAATTTTTGCCTTAGGAATAAATTCCATTATTTGTTGATTTAGAACTTGTGGTCCTCAATCATTTGGCCATACCATCTTAATGTAACATTTTCCCTTTCTGTGACTATTCCTCAGCAAGTCTTTAGGACAATCTATGGTTTTCTATTGTTCCCTCTCCTTGAACTTTCAAATTCACTCTTGCCAGCATGATGGTCTCCAATGCCCACTTTGATCCATCCATCATTCATTCATCATTGTTTCCAGACATAGTTAAAATCTGGTTTCATAAGGCCAAACCACACAGATTAGTCTAAGCTTTCAAGTACTTTACATCTTACTCTGTCTTCCATTAGTTTGGCCTATATGGACACATACTTGAGCTCTAGTGACTCAGTGGTTAAAGCGCTTGGCTGCTAACAGGAAAGTTTGATTGTTTGAACCCAGCAATCCCTCTGTGGGAGAAAGGTGTTTGTTTCTGTGAAGATTACAGTCTTGTGAACCCTATAAAAACCAAAAACAAACCCACTGCCATTGAGTCAATTCTGATTCATAGCAACCCCCATTGGGTTTCCAAGGCAGTGAATCTTTATGAAAGTAGATCTCTCCATCTTCCGTCCACGTGTGAAACCTATAGGGCAGTTCTACTCTGTTGTATAGGGTTGCTATGAGTGAGAAATCGACTTGAAGGCAATGGGTTTGATATGGTTTTGGGACACATGCACAAGGGTATGTTTTTTGTTTGTTTTTTAAACATTATAAATAAAAAGACATTAAGTTTGTCTCCTCAAATAAATTGACAGTTTCTTTGTGATAAGCTGAATTAAGGTTTACACTTACTCTGGAAATGATCCCAGAGATTAAAGCAGTGAGACAAATTCATTTATTACACATTTTTGCCATCTAATGGACAATTCATCTGTGTCTAAATAAGTTTTGCAATTTTAGAAATATCCACTGTAACACACATAAATCGAGAGAAACTTTTGTAATAGTTGGATTTCTTTGATGTGTCTGAGGATCTTGTTTTGAGACTTAAAAATGCCATCTTGAAAATAATGGATAGTCAGAATAATCCGAGTTTTAAAAATCCAATAAAAATGGCAGTATCAGTTAATTTACCTTTTATTTTGATGCTAGACTTTAGCTTGCTTATTGTCTATTTAGATCATTTGAGAGGAATGTACAGTCAGTTTGGTCCAGGCACTGTGACTAAGTTTAGAATAAATATATTTTATAAGTGAGGAAGATATTCTAGGTATACTCAATTTGAAATGAAATATTTTTGGATAGAGAAATTATTGGGATTCTGATAATAGCAAGCAAGGTAAGCCATAGATAATTTAGAACAATTTATTTCAAATAGTAGCATGCTATGGGCTAAACAATTTATTTTACTTTTTCTAATTTTACTCAACTTTCTTAAGTATATGTTTATCAGAAATGGTGTAGTTAGATAATGGGAAACCAATAATTTTATTAAAGGAGATATGCTATATGTATCATGAAAAGTGTATGGAAAAGAAAAATTATTCCATATTGTAGTATTTAGAAAAATCAAAAACTCACAAATAACATTGATTTTAGTTCTCTTAAGTAGAATCAACTTTTCAATGTTAAATTAAAAAATCTGATTTTGAAAACTTAACATTTCAATTGAGATAGGCAACTTTATAAGGTGATTTTTAGTGCTAGGAACACATGTGCTTAAATAATATTTATTTGAATAAGAGAAAATGATTAAAAATATTAGCAAAGGCAATGATATCTGAAAAAGAATAGCTTTCACAATAAAATAAAAATGCAAATATTTATATTGTGAACGTTAATTTAATTTGTTTGTTTTTCTAACATTTTAATGGTTTAGGTAAGAATAAAAGTTTTAGTAACTTTTTCTTTCTTTCTTTTCTTTTTTTTTTTTTTT